AGCAGTCTCCGTGCTCGAATAATGTAACGAATTAACCTTCCCGGTAAGTTTTGCACAAAAGTATCTTAAAAGACTACGGCATATACAAGTGTATACATCTATATAATATACAAGATTTTAGAGCCAAGAATATTGTTTGACGTGCATAATATATTGTTGATTATTGTATGAAACTCAAATTAAGTATTAGAATTTGTAAACAAATACAATTAAACTTTATTATTCAAACAACAGTTAATTCATTCTTGAATTACCATGTATTTTGTTCATGTAATTGCTTGAAATCAGTATTGGATTTAAAAGAATACAGATAATCTAAACTATGCTATATGATAACATTTACTAATTATTAAACTATATTATAAAGCAATTACAAATATTAAAAATAATAAAATAATATATTATGAATTAATCTATAATAATATTTTATTTAAGTAAGTACCAAATTAGTTAATCAGAAGTTTCTAAAGAGTATTACTTCTTATAATAGTTTACGTGTCAATTACAATAAAAATCCTCGGGGTTTCATGAAAATCTCTCATCAGACACAATATTATTCGAGTATAAACTATAAATGTACTGTTATAATAATTATTGTCTTAGTTAATGTATATATAAATATCAAAGATAATGAAACATTTATCAAAACTTATTAATAATTCGTTATATAAAAATCCCAAATAAAAAAAAATTGGTAAACTTTATGACGGTTTTAATATTTTGTAATAAAGAGTAAATTATATAATACGTTGTAAATAACTAATCAAATATAATAAACAATATGAATTTATAATTTTGGAGGTTTTCACAGTGTAAATTGCATAGGAAATATGTATATTTTATTTTATAGAAAAATGAATTTAAAAAATAAAAGATTTGAATTATACACCGTTTAAGTAATGGATAATTTATAATTCACTGGAATTGGTCGTAGTTGCCCGCCAAAAATAATCTAGTTACTATCTACGTGCAAAGAATGTCTGATATTTTTAATTATAAAGCAGCAGTCTGACATAAATTAATTGTATATAATTTTTTAATTAGGTACCAGAAGTTTAGTTGTTGATTTAAAATAGTGGGTAATATTGTAGAAACACACTAGTATAGTATTATCTAAAATATAAGTAATTATAAGGTTATTCTAGCACTGAGTTACTTGGTGTGACTTAAGAGGACGTTAAACTCGTAGGTATTATCTTCGTCTAACACATCATAGAAAATGTACAGTCAGCAGTCTAATTTTGTGTTGTATTATTATTAGTTGAAAGCTTTAATATAAGAGTAAATAACCTTATTATAAATAAAACTTTATAAGTTATTATTTATACTTAGGTTTTTTACAAAATTTTAATTTGTATACATTTTTTTTAAACATTAGTGTTTAATATGCAAATTAAATGTTGATTTTTATAAATATTAAATTGCAGTAAATTATATATTTTAAATAAGAATCACTATGTATAAATTATGAATTATATAATAACGTAATGAATAACATATAGATGATTAAAAAATTAAGTACGTTAGTTGGGTTTGTTTATATATATTTATAATATAGATACTGTAATAATTAAGAAAGCATTTATAATACGAATAAAATAATAAATTTAGATATAGAACAAATAAACAATGATTTGAATTTTTTTTCATAACGTTGTTATTAATCAACAATGTAATGTTGCCAATTATTTTAAAGGGGTTTTAGAAATAATAGCACATTTAATCATAAATTAATAATACAATTATATTTTTAAAATTAATTTAATTTATCATGTACATAATAATTCGCAAACAATTTTGAAATTATACAAACGCTACATTCTTTTATAATAAAAAGATATGGTTCAATAATTATTTTTCAAAAATAAATCACTTATATTTTATAATAAAATAATTATAATATTATTAGTATTGTTATTAGCTTATGAGACAATGCCATAAAACAGTATAAATTGCATAAAATTAATCTTAATAATTAGACATTAAATAATACTCGTATGTCAAAAATTTTAAATTCTTACGAATAATAATTTTTTTTTTTTTTTAAACTAATTAAAATCGTTAATTTTTGTTTAAATATCTAATATGAAAAAACTTGAATTTTAAATACCTAAAAATTAATAATTTTGATTATGTATTTTAATATTTCTTAGTTCTAGTATAAACAAATTTATAGGAAAAAACTTGTATTATATTTTTAAACTTTAAAATAAAAAGTCACAAAAAGAGTGAAAATATTATTTTTAATTATATTAAGTCTCAATAGATATTAATTATTGAATTGCAATAAAATAAATAACAAAACAAAATTTATTTTGTCAATAACTAATTTAGCAGCAGTTTTAACGGTTTAAACAGCAATATTAAAACAAAAATTAAATATATTATTAAATTATTGTCAAACCAATAAATTCTAAACTCTGAATTTAAAGAAATGGTAAAATAGAAAAAATAACTTTCCATAATAAAATACAATATTTTTATTGATACTATTATTATTATACTTAATAAATCGGAAATAATATCTAAAATAATACCATAGTTAATGCTAAAAATTATATTATTAATTTTTTTTAGTTCTTTTTAGCCTTGAATTTTTTAGAAACAAATTGATGATTTTAGTTAAAGAGTATTAAAACTTTTGTAAAATAAGTGTACTGTTTGCTATTTAATTGGATGATTTACATTGCAAATCATGAGACAATAGACTATTAACATTTACTTAACAATACACACATTGTACGGATGTCATAATATTTTCATTCATTATAGCCACATCTATCAATATTATTGATATTTAATAAATTTTGAAAAAACGTGAAATTAATTAAAATACATTTATTTTTTACTCTTTTAATAATAACATTTATGTTTGTAAGTATTACGTATATTTAATGAAAACACACAAAAGTGAAAACCTTATTTTCAAAAATATTGAACTTAAGTATTTAAAAATGTCCATATTTTACTAAAATTTAGTAAGATATCCTCAATAAACACATAAATATATTATTAATTTTTTTAATAAAACCGTACATTAGTCTTTGGGTTTAAATATTATTCAAAACATATACGGAGTAGTCCATTTAAATGTCAACACTCATTATTTCAAAAAGTTATAACTCTTAAAAAAAAAAAAAATAGTAATACATCTTCTAGTAGAAATACGATAAGTATTACATCATTTTTTAAATTTTTACTTTTAAAAATGATAACATACAAATTTAATTTTATAATCCAAAATAGAATAGTTTTTGAATTATTTCAATACATAAAAATAGAATTCCTAATTAATTTTATATAAGCATTTAAGTTTTGACAAGTAAAGTTAAACAGGGGTACTCAGTAAAATTTTATTTTTATAGATTGAAATACTCAGAATATTTCGCTTAGAAATATACAATTAAAAATGTAGTGTTATTCAAAAAGGTAAAAATTAAAAAAAAAAAAATTTTAAATGAAATTATTTTTCGATTTAAAGAAAAAGAAATTAAAATGAAACACTTAGTATTAGTATTACAGACATAATATGTATTAACATTGTTTAATAAAATAATTGTTAAACTGTAAAATTTTAATTTTTACGGCATAATATAATCACTGTACTAAAAAATGTCTAACTTAACCTAAATCACCAGACTTTTAATAATAGCTAACCATTTGGATGTTAAAAGATTATTTACATTTCACTATAGGGTTAATAGTAAGTTTTTTTTTTATTTTATGAGTAGTTTCTCAAGTGGTAAAAAAAATATTGACGTCTAAGAGAAATTATTCAAGAATAGTTTTCTAAGTTTAAGAAAAACATTAAAATTAATTAAATAAATATAAAAAATGGCGAGTATAATGTATCTCTACTTTTATCATTTATTTAAATATGATAATTGATCATTGCTTTCAATCAAATATCACAGTATTTTGAATATACCATTTCTAAGAAAATGTTTAAAAAGTTTTTTAATTGAAAATAGCAATAATAATTTTGCGAGAATAATTAAACTGAAGAATAAATGGTTTAATTTCTAATATAAAAATATTTTTACTATTTTAAATATTCTTTATCACTAAAAACTTTTAGTTTTAAAACTTCTAGAAAAAATATAATTATGTATATATACAGAAAAATCTAAATATACCAAAAAATCTATCTACTTAGTACTTATATAGCATACTACATAACTTTGTATTTGTGATGTAAAATTTGTAAAAATACATAAATGATAAATAAACTATAATAATATTGAGTATAAAATTAGTTAATTAAATAAATAATCAATTTAGGTATTTAAAAAATGCTCCTGATATAAATAATATAATTATTGTAGATAGTATAATTTGTATATCAGATTTATAATATATTAAGTATAATTAATAATACAAAATCTGAAAAACAATATTGAACAGATGAGGAAGGTAGATAAGAAAAGCTCCAGGCTCTTTCCTTTTACAAAGTAGTAATTTTATTTTTTTATTTTACTTTAATTTTTCACTGTTTTAATTTTTAAGCCTTTATTTTTTCTTTTTTATTATTCTTTTGTAAAGAGAATAACAAAATTAAATTCTACCCCATCTATAAGGCCATAATTTGCAATACAAAACTGGCTGGAAAAATCTTGAACTACATTAAGGGATACGATAACAAACCTTTTTTTCTTTAAACAAGGCAAGAGATAACATACCAAGCACACTAAAATTAATTATTTGTTAGACTAGTTTTAAATTAAAAAAAATACAGAAACTGACACATTAGTATATACTTTTAATTTAGAGAAATAGGAAAACAAAATATTTTTCCTCAAAAATAACTTAAAATCGTAATATTAGTTGATTTTACAAAGTAATCAATTTTTGTACTTTTAATATTAAGTTACTTTCATAAAAGTTATTAATATTGTATATTATATACCAATATAATAAATTATACATGATAAATAATTTATAACTATAACAAAAATACAAACGTTTTAAATTTTTATTAACCAATTTTGTTAAACACTCACCTGGCAAATCTTTCTTTGTCTTGGATATTATCATCTTCCATTCTAGAATATTTTTGACTAGAATCCTCTTCATCGGATCTAAAACAAAAAAATTAGTTTTATTAAATAAATATAATACCTGATTAGTTATTATATATGGGTAATTTAACACACAATATTAAGTGCGAATGCTATCAACTTTAATAGCCTTATGAGTACATATGTATGTTAATATATTATATTATGCATGTATGGAGTATGTTTTAACTATTAAAATACAAATTTTTCATTTTTTTTATCAAGGACAATTATTATTTTTGAGAACGTTTATGTTACATAAATATAAACTACAATAAGAATTACAATTAATCGAGAACAATATATTATTAATTCATATTTTAGACAGTTTTCAGGATTCAAAATTTAAATCCCATTAAAAGTGATTTATCCCATAAAATGATTCGTTAGAAAATTAAGTGATTAAAATTTAAAATACGATTTTAAGGATAATTATTTTCCTCTCATTTCTAGTAAACCTCTGAATATTTAATTAATTATGTATCTATAGTAAAAAAAACTTGAATGTTTTCGTACAAACTAAACCGAATCATAAAAACAAAATTCAAAATTAATAGAAGTGGAAAACCAATTGTAAATAAATAATCTATACAGTAGAATGATACCATTATATAATATTGTATTTTAAAACTAGATGAACATAAATATATTTGGTATTATTATTTATTATCTTATATGCAGTATTAGTAAGCAGCAAGCTTAGTACTATTATAACACTACTATAGTTTCATTGGATACATTTTACTAGAATTCTTTTCATTCAACAATGGAAACATTGTTATACTTTATACTAAATTCAAAGAATTTTCACTATTCTCAGAATGTGAAACAAGATTAATCATATCATACAAAGAAAATAATAAATTGTATAACATTACAAACAAATTATGAAGGATCATTTTATGTTCGTTTATTGAAAAATTATTATTATCCCCATGGCATATAGTACATTGTTATGTTAATTACAAGAAAGAATCTCTAAGTTCCAAGATACCTTTAAACTATTTTCATTTTACAATCGTTTCCTTTCGGTACATTACTTCTTATTGTTGTATTATCGGAATGTTAGAAGCGATTTCATTTTTAGGTCAATACGATAAAAAAAATGTCCGGGGACCGATTGTCTGCGAGGGTTTGGGACACCTGTAGTATAGAACACCTGGCTATCAGACCTCATGCCGAGGAAATGGTGACTTTGATATATGGACGAAGGTCAAGTCAAATCCTACTATTTTTACAAAGGATTTTTAGAAGAAACAGATTTTTCTGAAATTAATAATTTTGCAACACATCTGTAACTATATTATTTGATTTCTGAAGATGATATAGAATTTTGTGACACTAACACATGTGTAATACGAGAAAAACTATTGGCTAATGTGTGGTGCAGAGGATACAGCGGAACTAATGTGCTATAGTGTTCGTTGTCCTCTCATCAAGCCTCTGCGCGTCATCACCACTACTAGACCCGCGCTCGAAGGCGTGTCAAATGCGGTACATCAATCTAAGTGTTGATAAATTATTGTAGTTCAATGTTCAATAAAATAGGTATTTATTATAGGTGTATTATAGTACATTTTTCTTTCTTTTTTTTTTCTTAAAGACTTTTTTACTGTAGCTATAAAAAAGTTTAAAAGTACTTATATTTCTATAACCAATTTAAAAAAAAAATTGTTTCAACAGGATTTTAATTCAGGACAATATTTTTTTAACTATTTTTATTTGAATAACGTCAATTTAAAATATTTCAAATCTGACCATATACATGATATATATATATTATGATATATTTAATGTATAATATTTTTGATAATTATATAACTCAAATAATACATATACGTTATTAGGGTTCAATTAAATGTATCAGTTAACTGATGATAATTGTGCTTATCTCAAAAGTCAAAATAATTTATTTTAATCAATCGTTTTATCAAAAGTTATATTAATGCACATTTACTTTATAAACGTTATTTAAGTGCATAATACATATATGAGCTAATTACTAAAAATAATTGTAAATAAAAGTAATTTACTTTGTCCCAAAACTCTAGAAAGATTGAAGAAAAAAATACTTGAACTATTAATCAATATAATTGCAACGCGTTTGTAGTTCTACTACTAATTCTGTGGTTGTATAAATAATTAGGTAGTATGGTAATTTTTAAAATAATAATGAAACAAATAAGAACACAATCTAAATATAATATATAGTCTTTTTTTTTGCATAACTTAAATAAATTTGAAAATATGTAATTACGAATAGGTACATTTTTTCTTCCAACAGTTCCAACAATGACAAATAGAAATATTCATACTAAGTATTGTTTGTTGATGATATTGATCAATTACAAAATAATATTAGTGGGTACACGTGTATACGTATACGAGTACTTAGTACGTGTTTGTTTGATAAAGGTAAATTAAGCTCCGATTTTGGTGCCATTAATCTAGACGAAAACTGTATTGTTTTTGGATTATATATGTAGTTACTGGTTTACAACATTCCACACGTGAAAGGCATTAATATAGTCTGTACAGAAAATTATTTATATATCTATAATATTACCTTCGAAAAACTGATATTTGTACAAGTTTAAAAGAAATTTAATATATAACGAATAATCAAAAGAGATTTTTATGTTAAAGGTAGTATTTTCTTGTATAAACCAATCAAAAGTTTATTTTGAAAAGAAAACTAGACAAAGCAATTATATTAATAAAATGTAAAATGTTATTATTTCAACTAAATTTAAATAAATGGTAACCATAAAAATGTATATCAAATAATCAAATAAATAATTAAAATACAGTATATATTATATTATATAGAATGTTAGTAATTATTCGTTTTAAAATTAAAAACATATAATTAGAATTATTATACCAAATATTTTAAAGTTCGTTATATAAGGTAGTTAGGTGTTGTATAGTGTATATAGTACAAGCTACAATTATTAATTACTTGATTAAAATTATATTGCTTTTTAATATTATTAAACAATGGTTTATCTTTTGTTACATATATATTTTTACACTAACTAAACTTTAAGTCTAGTGATCTATGGTGATTCAATAAGTTTAACTATGGGTTTTTTAATAAAAATCAATAAGAAACTAGTAACTATATACCTATCAATTTAAAAGTTAATATACATTTTTATGTAAAAAAAATAAATAATACCACAAAGATATTCAAGGTGATACGGTACTTTTAGAACACAGTATACATATACGATATATTATGACAAATTAATTTGATCTTCCAAATTGAGTGTAATAAAAATAGTGGAGGGTCACCTAAGAAACAACATAATCCCAAAAATTTTCATCGCACGAAATATGAAGACTGTATATATTTATGATTAAATACATAATAGCTTAATAAATCTAGATGATTACGTCATAATATACCATCTACAAATAACTAAGCAACATTAAAATATTTATATTTTATTTTTCTCATAGGTACTACGATGGCAGTACTGTTCTATTAACTAATTATTATTTTCCTAATCTCTACAACAACTGTAACAAAAATATAAATATTTAGAAGTTTAAAAACCATACATAACTATATAATCATTTATCATTACACAAACTATGAACTACAGCAGTTGGTAAAATAACTTAAGATCGACAATTGACAAATTTAAAATATAATAAAAAAAAGGGTTAAATTTCTTAAAAAAATAAATTACTTTAGTGATACTTAGTATTTATTGAATACTAATAATTTCTATTGTCACTATTGACAAAAACATATACATCTGTCATATACTTAGTATTTATGCAAATCATTAAATACATAGTTTAAAAAATTGATTAAAATCAATTGTAATTTTCATAACATGCATAATGACATAAAATATAAAAAAGGCACATTATAAAGTAAAAACCTGATAAATAAATAAATCTTTATAAGAATAAAACATACTTTATGATATTTTAAAACAAAAATAAGTCGTTATCGAGATTGACTGATAATGTAAATAAATAGATAAATGTGTTTTTTTCATTCCAGAGCTTAATACGTTCTGATGTACTTCTCAACAAAATAATAAAATAATAAATTATATAAACAATTATTCATTCCTGACTTAATGTTATGAAACATTCAAAATAAAAAAAATGTTTATACTCCATAAAAACTACGGGAATAATTATAATTTGTATGGATCAATATTGCGTTAAATTAAAATATCTAATATTATATTATTGTTTAAGTTAGGAAAATAAAATGAAAAAATATCCTTCCTTTTACTTTTTAGAATGTAGTTTAATAATTGTAACAATAACAATATAATAATTATTGTTTAAATATTTGAATTTATTTTTATTTTTTATTATAACATTTATACTTATAGTTGGTAATTTTATTGAATTCATAAAATTATTGTTAAAAATTTTAATTGCCTGTTTAAAAAAGAAAAAAAGAAAGAAAAAGAAAAATCAATGGGGTAAAAACAATTACTAGACCACCGACTGATAACATTCTAATTCATTAACCTTATACAATATACACGCGCGCGCGCGCCCGTGCGTATATTTAACTACCGTAAATACACAAGTAAGGACAAAACGCATGCAATAAATTAGTAAGTCAAAACTACTCATTAGTTAAACAAAATCAACTGATTAAAATATTTATTTTTTTACAAGCAGCTAACATCAAACAGTGTCACAATGTGTTAAAATATTTATATTGGTTACAATGTAGTTAAAATGAAATTTAGACTAAGATATTAAAAAAATGTTCTTATTATAGTAACTGAATACTGAAAAATATATTGTTATTTTAGGTAAGTATAATCAAATGATATTTTTACTAGCATATGCTATAAACTCAGTATAAAGTATAAATATTAACTACCTGCTAACCTGCCTAATATATCTATAATAGATAGGTAATCTATTGATAAGATTTCAATTAATTTTTTTAAATCTAAAAAAATATTTATAAGTTATTAATACAATATCATTAAAATTATAAAATATAAAATAAGTATTATGATTTAGGTTTACTAGTAACTTAATTAAAACCATAAGAACCACTATTAACATGCATACGTATCAATATACAAATTATCCAATTAATTTCTTAAAAACGCAAGAGTCATTATTAGTTAAATTAATGTACATAATATTAATTAGTTTAACGAATAAGAGAAATGAATTGGATAATATAGATATAATTTTAAACGATACGCACATCAAAATACTAATAGGTATTTTATAATCATAAAGTATACATAAATGAACCTAAAACCATAATAGTAATACTAGTTACTAGTTAGTATGTTTTCTAATAGTCACAATTTTCACCACAAGAATAACGTTCTATTGTCATAGCTCATAAGGACATAAGGTATCTCGTTGATTTCTACATAAAAACAGGCCGTAGTTTCGTCATACTGATATACACCTCAGGTGTGCCGACCACATCGACCAATTGCAGAACATAATAAAATATAATATTATAACATATATTTATATTATACAATACAACGATAAGCTTTGTGCGACCCAATGTGGCGTTGTTATTTACATAAAAAACAATTATATTAAACAAACTGGCCATAGGTATTTTTATTATTACTATTATATATACTAGAGAGTATGGTTTTTAATGAGTAATTACACGCGCTACTGTAGACGAAGGATTTAAGTGGAGAGGGGGGTTTGTCGAGTGGGCAGATTACGGAGCGACACAAGTAAAATCACATAATTCTAAAATAATATATTTCAATCTTATTTATTACACAGTCGTTATAAAAAAAGTTATTATTTTAATAATATGTATATTTTTCTTAATTCATTATAATTTTAATAATATATTGTTATTTTGTATATCATTTAATAATAGTAATTATAATAGTATTAAGATAAACCTCCTCCGTTTCTGTATCGCCTCGTCGGGCATTTGAAGCGGTGGTGGTGGTGGCGGTGGTGGTTCACATACGGCCGGCATAGGCATGACCATGGCCATAGGTATGGGACCGGGCTGCAGATAGCCACTCGAGTCTCCCGCGGAAGACTCGACGGCCCCGTAATGGGGAGGACCAGCGTATCCGTACATCCGGCTGTTACTACAGCAGTAGTTGTAGCCACCAACCGTTGCTCATAACACCACCGCGGTCGCGACGTTTTCGCGTCCGGAAGCCGTCGCCGAGACGACATATATGTCACAAGACACCATAAAAAATAAACCAACGGGATGACTGAGACGAACGACACCGACCAAATATATATATAAGTAAAAAACAAAAACTTAAAAAAATAAAAGATTTTTTACTAAATTAAAAGGATGAAATGTTAACACACACACGAACACTAAAAAATACTATTATATTATACACACGCCCGCACGTGGACAAACACTGGTACACGAAATCCAGGAACGCAAACGACGCGAGTACGCTGAAGACTGAACCGGACGACCACGGTCGCCGCCGCCGGCCACCGCCATTGCCATCGCCACAGGTACACACGCATTACACGGTCTGTGTTGTGCGGCGTCGGCGGTCCTGGTGGGGATTATGGAGGGGACTAAAGAGAGGCATTCCCCACTACCGCGTCGCAAGAGTACGGTTGTGGGGAAATGCTTAAAGAAAAAACAAGATTCCGACAAGCATTGCTAGGTAACGCCGATAGCGCGCGCGGTTAATGTGTAGTGTCGAGTTTATCGTATATGATGATGAATAGTAATAGACCGGAGAGGGAAGTAAAAAAATCAAAAAAAAAAAAAAAATGAACCGTTTATTAAGGCGTGCGGTACTTTGTATTTAAGTTATATTATACGCAACTGCACTTGGGGAGAACGGGTCGACGACTTCCGAAAGTATAATATGACGAACTTTTGTACAATATTTGATTGGTGGAAGTATCAAAAGTTGAACATCCACAAAGTTTAACGGAATAATAGTATATTTGTATTATTCTTTAAATTCTATCAGAATGACACGAACGTAAACTTTTCCACAGAAATTGAGCGAGGGTGCAACCAGCAGAGAGAAAATACTAAATTCATTGATAACAATATAATATAATAATTAATATCCAATGCTTAAATTATATAAAATATAACACTATTAAATTATATGAAAATATTTGGTAATACAGCATTTACATACTAACAATTTCTACGTAACTTATTCTTCTGCGGGAGTTGAAAACTCCCAAACAGATTTTGTTTATAAAATATCATAATTAATTATATTCTTATTGTTTAAAAACAATTTTAGAATGAACTTTTTTTTAAATTATTTCTAAGTATTGTACTATTGTACTATTTGTGTATATATAATAGAGGCATTCAATACTAGAATGAATAACAATAAAGTATTAATGTAATAATTTTATTTAAAACACAATAATATGCACACTTATTGTAGTCACTATTAATTTATTGAAAATGTAAATATTACACACTAGAAAATCAGAGAGTACATGATCTGGAATGAATAAAAGTATACAAATATACTATTTCTCCATAATTCCTTATCAATTTAAGACTTTAGACACTTAATATATTAGATTCTTGTCAGGGCGTCACATCTAAATCCATAATGAAAAATAGTTTCCTTTTGGAAACGTAGGTTATTTTATTTTATCTCCATTAATATAATAAGACTAATGCCTAAATATAAGTTGCACAAATAATTTCTAACGATTATTATTCTTTGGGTTGGTGAATGATGGGACGTTTAAAAAATTAAAAAATTATAATATCGTTATCATACTATGTAATAATTATTATGTTTCTTGGTTAATTAAATTATCTAAAGATACTACCATTATATTTAAGATTTCGTATAAAACAATGGTTATTAAATTAAAACAAACATAATTAAATTTGATACTTATTTTTGTATATATCTACCAAGTACTTATTTTTATATTCACATTAAAAAGTACAATATATTAATACATTGTAAAATGTACAAACAACACTGATCGAATTAAACATATTTAATAAATACGTTTTGTGTATTACCTGCTCTATAAATAAGTAAATAACCAACTAAATTAATAATGGCAACATTTTAATATTACTGGTATACATATACATTATACATAATATATAAAATAATTATTTTATAGTATAATTATAGTGATTAATATTATACAGGTATATTTTAAGTATATAATCTTTTACTTAATTTAATAATATTATTAAATTTAAGATAGGTTAGGCATGGCAACAAATCGAATTTCTCTAACTTTTTTACATAGTTTTGTTTACATCAAACAATATTTCGATATGTAAAATGCCTATTAAAGTATTAACTATTCGTGAGAATTTAATTTTAATATCTAGTGTTTCTTTAATAATAATTTCATTTTAAATGTACATTTTGTTTTCCAAAAAAATTAAAAAACACGTCTAGTTATTGCGATTCAGTTAATTTTAATACTTTCATTGATTTTTGTCTGATCAGTTAACAACTATACGAAACAATTACTATATTTAAATATTATAAAAAAATATTTTAATAATTCCAGAACAATACCAACCCCCCTTTTTATTACATTTTTTGTATTTCATTATTAATATTTACCTGGTGACATGTTTTGTATTTTAATATCTTGTACATTTATTAAAAACATCAAAAGATTTTTTTTACTGTAGTTATAAATAACCGAATAGATCTTATCGTTAAACCTGTACATCACGTTCATCAGATATTCATCAACCATAGAAAACTATGTAGGTACCCACACTTTGAACAAACGATTATCCTTTGCTTTACATAATAAATAAATAACAAAAAATATAAAATATACATGAAATTACAAACGAACTATATATTTAAGTACAACGCAAAACGGAAAAATACAAACCATATAAACCATATACAAAGATGTTGAGATCTATAATGAACAAGATAAAAACTTCAAAAAGTAACATGAATGCATATCTACCACCTACAATAAATTGTGCACTATTCATGGACAAAATATATAATCTATACATATCTAAATTAAAAATATTATTAATTACATTTCAAATGTTAGTATAGACATATTTATAAGAATAACGCTGCGTGCTCTTAGAACTTTGTACCATATATTTAATAAGTCAAGTCAGTACAATTAGACAAACAAAACGTAGTAAAAAATTAATAATTTCTGAATAAGTTTTAATGAATATATATATTTTTTAAATTTCAATCTTAAATCTATAACCATCGACAACTAGAATAGAAAAATCTCCCCTAACTTAAAGGACTAGTTACGCTTATGATTAGTATAAATATTAAATAGTTAGATTAAAAACATGGCTTAGATCCACAATGGAGCAAAATAGATTAAGCGGATTGGCATTATTGCATTAAGCACAGATCAATAAATAAAGATATTAACAGAATTATTGATAAATTCTTACAAATGAAAAAAAAAATAAATATTGATTTTATAATTTAATAAATATAATATTATTTTACTGTAACTTTATTTAATTTTATTTACCTTTTTCAAGATATGCAACGTGTAAAAGACGGAAGTATAAAATGGACTAGTAGGTATATGTATTCAAAAAGCATAAGCATATAATATACATATAAAAAATATTGTACTTAACTAGTGTATAATGCTCGTAAATTTAGTACCGCCCCATAAGAGGGGGCCCCTTAAAATTAAATCAAATACGCCACTAGTGTGGTGAAAAAAAAGTAAAGAATGGCCACGTTGATGATTGGAGACGCTCGTAGTGGCGTAACTACATGGTTGCATAGGTGTGCATTGCACCGGGGCCCGGAGCCTAGACGGTTCAAAAAGAAGCCCTAGAATTTTAATATTTTGTTTAAAATATATTAAAATTTTATATTTTGTTAATAATTTTAAACTATTTTATAATAAATAATATACTACGATAAAACTATAAACTTTTTTATTACGAAGAGTGTAAAAATAAATCGAATCGTCCATGAAACAGGTAGAATATTATAGAATATTGTCATTAGAACATAAAATTTAGAAATGATTACGAAAAAGCCAAAACTGATGCTGTAAATATAGCTAATAAATGGAATGTAAAAGCTGAATTTTCTAATAAAAAAGAAAAATATCAAAAAAACATTTTGACGAATTAGCTGAAGATTTTAAATTTAAAAATAACGAACATTATTTTAAAATTAATTTATATAACAAAGTTTTTGATATGGTTTGGAATCAACTTTATAATCGGTTCGAAGGAATAAATGAAATATGTAATTTGTTTAACTTTTTGAGTCCTAATATATTAATACATCTCCCTGTTAATGAAATAATGGACTATTCAAATAAACTCCAAAAGAAATTTAATACAAATTTAACTACAGAGTTCCCATTACAATTAGTTATGTTAGTTTGAATGGATATTGTAAAAGAAGAACTAGCAAAATTAAATTCAATAAAAAAAATTATTGAGTTTTTAATGAATCAGCCATTAATATATTCAAGTGTTCCAGATGTAGTTACAAGTTTACTGTTATTTTTAACAATACCCGTATAGCATCGACAAATTCAGAGAGGTCATTTTCGAAAATGAAAATAATAAAAAATTATTTGAGATCCACACAACAACAACATCTCAGTGAATTAAAAATTTTAGCCATTGAAGCTAAAGAACCTAAACAAATGGATATAAAGGAATTTATAAAATAATTTTCTGATTTGAAGGCAAGAAAAAAAATATTTACGTTATAAATATATTTAAAATGTTGACAACGTAATTTATAAATTATTTCATGTTAATACATATTATTATGTCATTTAATTCATGTATAAATATTATTTAATTAATTATGATATATTTTATGAATTATATAAATTATAATACATAATATAATTATACATTTTATATATAAGTGTAATTGTCTAATTTTATTCATATAACGATGTTTAGGAGCCATAAAATAATATTGCACATGGGCTAGAATTTTTAATTACGCCACTGGACGCTCGGCGTGTTTATTTTATATTAAAATATGTTTATAAAATATGCTCGCAATGAAAATATCACAGAACATCTCGCCATGTTATGAGGTGAAAAGCGAAAATCAAAAATACTCTTTCACGTACAGAAAAAGAAAAAAACGAATTCACGATGTGTTTATCGAAAAAGTGTTAATTCGATAACGGTCGCGACAAGAGAGGCCGATCGCCGGCGCGAGTTGTCTTCCCATCTCATTTAAGCCTTTATGGCGTTGGTGGTAGAGTTGACGTTATGGTGTCTATACTCTATAACTGTGGTGATGGTGGTGACAGTGTAGACCGGTCCCTGCAGTGCCTGTACTTTGTAATAACGACCGTTGCATACCGTATCAAAACTATGTGAATAAATATGTTTGGGAGGTCACTCGATAGAATCGATAGATCTCTATGTCAGGTTCGTTTTAAACGGAATGATGGTTATCAGGTGTTGCACAAGAAAATAGTTGATTAA